GTTTCCCTCTGTGATTTGTTATAAGGGATTCAATTATAACTGCTTAGAATACGCAATACTCATTATCGTATCAACATTAAATATTAAGCGAATTCATAGGTCCTTTTAAGTCGGCATTGTTCTTTCACCATTCCAATTGAGAATTTAAGTTGCAAATGGAATTTTATGTGAGAAAAAATATTGTAAAAATAAAATTATAACTTGAATTTTATGAGAGAAAATATTATAATAAAAAAATTAAATTATGAAAAGAACAAGTTCTATAATTCATCAAATGAACTATAATATGAAAGATTCTTTAATATATCTTATGTATTGATAGGTCAAGTTTTTTTAACTGTTGAATCTATAAACTTTTTAATTTTTACTTAATTTTATATAGATTTAACAAATAAAAAACCTGACCTATCAGTATATTAGCATAAAAGAGAAGGTTCCTATAATATTCATAACAAAATAATAATGTACCGAATTCATGCACTTTTACACGATTATAGATTGCCATCCAGGCATATTAATGCAGCTGTTGTTATAGTGTAAATTAAGCCTAATACAGCTATGAAATCTAGTTATTTATACGTATCCCTTTTATATACAAATTATGCTCTTTTTTTTTTTCAAAAGACGTGATATATTCAAACACCAACTCTGAGTCCGTTTAGTTGGAGGATTCGTTCTCTGATTCGAATCATAGTTCATGATTCGTTACAGTATTTTTTCTCACAAAAAATACACATAAATTAAAAATAGTTCTAATCTTATGGTTCTAATCCATGAACCAAACTGACTGATTTTCCTAAGTTAAAAAAAAAAAAAAAAGTGGTCTTCGTCTCATTACGCCTATATATTATGCTTAGACGTTCCACCACAGGGACAATCCTCAAGAATTGCCTACAGCCTAATTTCTTTCCCGGCCCAACCCAATGAGCCCAGATATGACTAAGGAGGAAAAGTTTATTAAGAACCGTTTAATTCATAGATTAAAATAATTTTTAATTTATGTGTATTTTTTATGAAAAAAAATACTGTAGTAAACAATGAATTATGATTTTAATCAGAGAATAAATTCTCCAACCAAACGGGCTCTAAGTAGTTACTCATTCCATTTTTTGGATAAATTCAAGACCTATTTAATTCGTTGATTTAAATTGAAAAGTATTTTTACGTGAGAGTTTTTTATTGTAGTAAAAAAATTAAATATTATTATTTTTTAAAATTTTTTACTATAATAAAATTTAAATTATAAATTTAAATGGTAAAATTAATGTGATCTCACTTCCTTTTACAGTTAAGTCAACTGAGATATCTGGCTTAAGCAAGTTGTTATAATTCAAGTACAGTATTTGTGGATGGAAGTGCTTTTACGAGTCAATGAAGTGCGAATTCAAATGCTTTTTCTTTCTTTCTTTCTTTTTTCTGTTTTTTTTTTTTTTGGTGCGTTTTCTTATCCTTGGAAAGCACAGTCTGGAACGTCACGCACCTTTGAGGACAAAGCTGACTTTTATTTTATTTTATAGAATTTTATGCTTTAAGATGTTCTCTTTCTTTCCCGGCTAATAGAGTGAAACTTTTCAGACCTGGTAAAACAAATCTTAGCGCGTTTGGTTAGTAAATCTGTATCATGGTTTGAATCATGATTCGTAACTCGTTATAGTATTTTTTTTTTACAAAAAACACATATAAATCAAGAATGATTTTGAATCGTGATTCTGAATCTATAAACTAAGTGTTCACAGTGTTCTCAAGATGATAAAGTTAGGAAAAGAAAATCCCTCCAAGGAGTGATGTTCAATTTGGAGACGTGTACAGACGTGAAAGTTGTAATTTCATGATTTTGGTTTTTCTTTCCCTGTTGGAGCAAAAGGGAACTGGTTTAAATTGAATATTTATTCAGTCATCTTTTATCATTCGAATGCCATCGCACAATGGTTTCTTCGTACACAACTTTTTTCTTTTTCTTTTTTTTTTTTGGCTGAATTCTTCGTACACAACCTTGTAACATGAAGTAATATCATACATTAGTGGCACAATATCGACGACGAGCAAAAAATGGGCTTGAAAGTTGTTGTGAGATAAGTCACGGGCCAAACACCCCTAAGCCCTAATTGATTAAGGCACAAAACTTGGAAGTTGGTTTCATTTAATGTTAGAACACTCTTGACAGGCCCAAGAAGCGGTAGTGTCTCGTCTTTGAAAATTGTTTACAGAGAAAAAATGAGAATTTATCTAAGTCGGATTTTTACATCTTACTTTTAATAAATATTCTTTTATTAATATAATTATTTAATTAAAAAAATTATAAATTAAGAATAAATAGTAAATATCCTAACTCATATACTTTCTAAGGGTCTTTATTACGATTAGGTATTGCGAGACATCCAAGTCAACAAGAGATTATAAACTTATAATTAAGGCGTTAAATTTATGAAATGCTTATTCATTTGGTGGTATTCTAAAAATGATTTTGTTTTGAGTATGAAGATGGAAATGAGAATTTTTAAAAACGGAACAAGGATTGTTTTTGAAGTTGCATTTAGATGATTTTCTAATAAATTAGACTACTAAAAAATGAATCTGGTGTTTAGTTAGTGAGATTTGTGAGTATATATAAAAAATAGAGACATGATTTCAAATAAAAAATAATATAATAAATGAGTTTAAACCTATGAGAATTTAAGGGGTTAAGTTATTTAGAATGGGTTCTAAACCCACTAGGATAGATTCTATACCTATATGCCGTGTACAAAAAAAAAAAAAAAAGAACCAAATATGGATGTTGAAACTTGGAGAACCCATGAAACAAAAGGATCTTCTTCCCTTAATCAAAATTAATTTGTTCACAGTTGTACTAAACATTCGCTATTACAAGACGGGTCCCATATATAACACTTATGGGTGGAGTCCGCCTTCAATTAACGATGGTACTTAGAGCATTTTTCTATTGTAATTTGTAATCTATATAAATACACGGATTATCTTAAATAAGATAACCACAAAAGAAATAAAGGCTTATTCTTTGAGTGAAAAATTTAAAAAAAAGTAACTCGAATTATAATTTTATTTGAGTTCATGTTCTTTTAAGTTTAAACTCGAGTTCAAACTCGAGTTTAGGACTAAAACACGAGTTTAAGTTTTCTCTTCAACTCGAGTTCAGAAACTCGAACTTAAATTAATGGACAGTATTTTTTCTATTCTTAAAAATGCTATAACTTTTTCGTTTTAATTTTGATTAAGATGATTTTTTTTTCTATGCATTGACAACGAAAAGACGAATAAAATCCGACTCATATACCCTATTAAAATTTTTCATCAGCATTGAATTTTTTTTTAAATACTCTCTAAATACAAATTTAAGTTTTGACTCACTTAAACACAAACTCAAAAAGATTCTTATCTCAAACCATAACTCAAATATACACAACCAAATACAAACTCAAGTTACAAGTTCAATTCAAATTATAACTTAAATTTAACTTAAAAAATTATACTCAAGTTAAACCCTAAAAAACAAGCCCTATGTAATTTATATAAATGGTCCCCAATTTTTTAGTAGGTGATAATTTAATTCTTAATTTTTTATCTACAAAACGATCTTAATCTTCTTCTTCCTCGAATTCCCTGTTCGGTACCTCAGTTCTTCTTCTTCTTCTGTCCTCTCCGGCAAAAGCCCAACGGGAGAAACGACATCCATCGGGTGTTCCTCGGCTGCCCGGGCGTCGGCAAGGGAACCGCGACGACCAAACCCACTTCCACCACGATCCTGCCTCTGGCGGACCCTTCGATGAAAATGGAAAATCCTACGAAGAAGATGTTGGGAACGATGATGATGGAGGAATTTTCGCATCGGACGGACTGATATCTCTAATTCATGGTTTCTAAATTGAGCTTTTTGATCTGTTTGTTCAAAGATATGCGGAGACAGAGCATTTCTTATTTTGCTTCTTTTTTCCGAAATACAAAGACGTAGTTTGGGAAAATTTTGTAAATGTGGGAGAACATGGTTACCGATAAGCTAAATTTTACTAATATTGATAGGCTGCTTTGTTTGGAGATATGGTTGAATCGCGTACTTTCTGGGATTTTTCTCAAGTTTTTTGTTTAGATTTTCATGAGACTTTGAGATTTTTTTTTTTTTTGAGATATGGTTGAATCTGGGCTGCTGCTACTGATTTCGGTGGATTTAGATCATTGACTTTGAGATTTTTTTTTCTTTGAGTAATTTGAGTTTGAGATTTCATCCATGGCCGACGTGGGGGATATTTGTTTGGAAAAGAAATACCAGATAAAGATCGAGAAGATGGAGAAGAAAGAGAAAGTATTTAAATTAAATGAGGACCATGAGGAGATTAAAAAAAAAGTTACTGTAGGATCCGAGCTTCTTTGTTGCCGAACAGGGAAGAGAACATCCGACTGAACAACAAACCCATCGCCGTATCTAGCATTTCTTGGTTTCTGTGGAAGCTGAGGAAGAAGAAGGCCCGCATTTTTGTCTTTTAATTGAAAAAAGAAAGACATGATGCTCACATGCAAAATCTCTTAAAAATTTAACAAAATTTAACCAAAAAACCCGAATTATACCTATTTAAAAAGATTAGGGATTATTTTGTCAAAAAAAAATTAACGATTAAACTGTCAATTATTAAAGAGATTAGGTACTATTTGTGCAAATTACCTGGGAAATTTTATACACAGCGAAGATTTACATTCCTTGATGCTTATAGTAAAAGTGGAAATTGCATACTTAAATAAAGAAACGACATTCCGGAAGAAGATGGTAGAAGGTGGCAGAAAGAAAACATCTAATCTTTACCTGTCTTTATCATTGAACTAAGCATGTTCAAGAAGAGACATGATTAGAGATGGGCCTTGAAAGTGCTAGAATTCTCTCGTTTCTTTTACCCTTTTAACTATTCTAATTACATTACTAACTAAAACTCTCCTCTCATCCTTATATATAGACTGTTAGTACACCACATACGTTCATAAACCGATCAGCTTTGTTCACTAAGTCCTGCAAGATCATATTCATTTCTTATACCACTTCCAAGTTTTTTGTTTTTTTGTTTTTGTTTTTTTAAACCTTTTCTCAAAAATGTCTCTCATTCCAAGCATTTTCGGTGGCCGAAGAACCAATGTGTTTGATCCCGTTTCCCTAGACATATGGGACCCCTTTGATGGCTCCTTCAACTCTGCATTGACCACATCGCCTGAAACATCCGCATTTGCCAACACAAGGATTGACTGGAAGGAGACCCCGGAAGCCCATGTTTTCAAAGCCGATGTCCCGGGCCTGAAGAAAGAAGAGGTGAAAGTGGAGGTTGAGGAAGGCAGAATCCTCCAGATCAGTGGCGAGAGGAGCAAAGAGCAGGAGGAGAAGAACGACAAGTGGCACCGCGTCGAGCGGAGCAGCGGCAAGTTCCTCCGCAGATTCAGGCTGCCGGAAAATGCGAAGACCGATCAGGTCAAAGCTAGCCTGGAGAATGGAGTGCTGACTATTACTGTTCCTAAGGAGGACGGAAAGAAGCCTGAAGTCAAGCCTGTTGAGATCTCTGGATAGATATAATCATAACTTTATGAAATTTGGTTCCCTGGCCTTATGTTGAGTTTTCTGTTATTCCGAATAAATACTGTCCAGCGCTTGTGTTTGTGTGAAATAGTGGTTCGAATTTGTATGATGTGAAAACAGTTTGCAACATGTTATGAATTGAAAGTGTTGGGATTTGTTTCCTAATTTATGTATTGATTGTAATCGGATTTGATTGGCATTATTTTGGGAATGTTTTGCTGGGATGATTGCGTTTAAAAATGTCTATGCAACTGGCAAGTTTCTTTTGACAGATTTCAAAAAAATCCAGAAACTTGTTTTAATTTCTATTTTTCTAAGTCAACTATTGATTCAAATATGGAAAATTGATTTGATTGAGATTTCATAGCTGGATGATCTTCCTCTGCCTCTTAAGAACGTGTCCAGGTTCATATATCAGTTTTGAGAAGATTTCAGAATTAAAAGAAGATTGATTCGTCTGGTTTTGGAAAAGTTGGCCGTAACAGCTATGTTGCAGTGTTGTTGCAACAAGATCTGCAACAGATGTGGTTCAGCGAATTAATTGAAGATGTGTCAAGCTATTCACAGCTTGCTTATTTATTGAAAGTGTTCCTTAAGTCTTTGTACGCCTCTTGATGAGTTTTGGCTGGGTTGTGAGACAGGGGTGAATTCTTTGCAGATTTTTGGATTCTTCATGCTTAATCATGTTATTTTTACAACGAAGAAACTACAAGTAGAAAAGCCTCTATGGTTTCTATTCCTCACCTAATCAGAATCAGCCCTCCATGGTTAGCAAAACCAACTGAACTTTTTCGGAATCCCAATTAATTAATAACTGTTTTTCTAGCTCTTTGCTTTTTCAACGAAAGCCTACAGACATATGCTTTGTCTTTAATCTTCAGATTATTTCTTTTGAATAAGAAATATTGAAGTAGTAATAGGTGAAAAGACTATCTCTAATGTAAATGTTAATTTTAAATGTATATTTGCCACTAAAAAGTACACTAGTTTAATACACATATAAATAAGCCGTTGTTCGGCCCTGTAGCTGGAGTATGTTACAAAAATTCCTCAGTCGCAAAGGTGACGGGCATAACTTACTACAAATATAAAGCGTACACATATCTATTGTTTTCTCTTTCTTTTCTCAGCAACATCCTTCGTACAGATTGATGAACCACTTCCACTGCAGTTGAAGATCAAATGAAGAAGAGAATCAAATTTGGAAAAAGGAAAAGAAGAAAAAATAAGTACATTCTATAATTAATCTTGGTTGCAATTTTGGAAACCAGTATGAGGGTTGTCAATGCGGCGAGTGACGGCTGGCGGGTCCCTGTCCCGTATTCTAGAATTAAAAATTCTTGTTAGAGGAGCTATTCGTATACTCTATCTATTTATCCATTACTAGTTTTAAAAAAGCTTACAACATTATCAAACGTCAAAGAAAATTTTATTAAATTGATTAGAATATATGTAATCGAGACGGGCGGAAGCGGGAGAGGTTTGCCGATCCCCGTCCCACTCTCAAATTGGGGCCAAATTTTTAACCCCATACCCGCCCATGCTCCCATACATGTCCTATTAAGGGTAGGTAAAATTGTCATTCTTACCAGTCTCGTCTCAAGAATTGGAACATAAAAGAAATTGGTTTATTGAGAACCAATCCTCAGGACAAACTCCATTGATAAGCTCTACGAGCTAAGGACTAAACAAAACTTTCTCAATGACAATTATCTAGTCTGAACCTTTTCAAGGACTACTAATGGATTGTTGTTGCCGTGAGAATGCTTTTGTTCTGCTTCAGCAATCCTACCTGGTCAATTTGTTGTGTTGCGTTGGATGTGTGGTCACATGAGTAAAAAATTGGGTTGAAAAGAATTGAGTTAAGCATTTTCCATTTAATTGGTGGACTCTGAGACTTTTAAAGTGACGAAAAGAATGGGAGGCGTAATGACAGTAATGATCCTCTTTTTCTTAAAAAAGAAAAACAAAAAACCTTCACAAGAACAAAACATCACCTATATCCTCTTTTACAACCAAAATGATAGCAACTACTAATAAACGGCAAAGGAAATATCAAAACTAAAGAAACACTATCAACTAAATTAACTTCAACAAACGACAAGCAGCTTCTCCCTACATCACTTTGTATTCTTATAGTTTTGTAACTTTACGTGTTTTTTTTTTTTTTTTTACATGAGGTTTAGTTCATGGATTCAGAATTATGATTTAGAACCAATTTTTATTTACGTGTGTTTTTTGTGAGAGAAAATACTATAGCGAATCACGAACCATGATTCAAATCATGACACGAATACACCAACCAAACGCATAATTAAGTTATTCTCCTCATGTCCCTTTTTTTAGAATTTTTTTGTCATTTCCCATTTCTTCTTGTTCTTTAGCCATCCTTTCTCATGTATTGTTGTTTTCGTTATGTCCCTTTTTCTTTTGGCTAGACTTTTGTGTCATTGTTTATTCTTCTACTCCCCTTTATTGTCGTTTTTCCGTATTCTATCGTTTCCTACTTCATTGTGGTTCCATATTTTGCCTTTTTCCTTTTTATTATCGTCGTTTTTGTGTTTTCCATGTATTTTCGTTTATAATGTAATCGTTTTCTGCTTTGATGTCGTTTTGCGTTCTTGTACCATTCCTGCGTCTTTTCTTTCATCATGTTGTTTTTAACATAAAATCTCACTTCCCAACCCAAATTAAAAATTTAAATTGTATATGTGTGAGAAAAATATTATAATAAAAAAAATAATATTAAGGATATTAATTCAAATCTCAATTTTTGTATACTAATTAATATAATATGTGAATTGTTATTTTTTTTATTAGTAGATATTTGTAATATTATCACGTAAATTAATAAAAAAAATTACATTTATAAATAAAAGATAACAACTTATCTATCACATAAATTAATAATAAAAATTAATATTTGAGTTAGTACCGCGTCAATTAAAGTGTACCTAGCATTACTCAAAAATAAAAAAAATGCAGGCGGTTGAACCCCTTTAATAAAGACAGATATTCCAAAGAAGGTCGTAGAAGGTGGCAGAAAGAAAACCATCAACTCTATCGCTCACTGTTATTGAACTAATTCTAATAGCATGTTCAAGAAGGGACATGATTAGAGATGGGCCTTGAAAGTGCTAGAATTCTCTCTCTTTTCTCTTACTCTTCTAACTATTCTAAACCGAACCAACCAGAATTGTCCACTCATCCTTATATATAGGCTGTTTGTATCACGCCTTCAATCAACATTCATAAATTGATCAGCTTTGTTCACTAGTTCTCCAACAAGATCATATCCATTTCCCAACACTTTTTAAGTTTTTCTTTTTGGATTCTCTCAAATATGTCTCTCATTCCAAGCATTTTTGGTGGCCGAAGAACCAATGTGTTTGATCCCGTCTCTCTAGACATATGGGATCCCTTTGATGGCTTCTTCAACTCTGCGTTGGCCACAGTGCCTCCCTCCGCAAAAGAAACATCTGCATTTGCCAACACAAGGATTGACTGGAAGGAGACCCCGGAAGCCCATGTTTTCAAAGCCGATGTCCCGGGCCTGAAGAAAGAAGAGGTGAAAGTGGAGGTTGAGGAAGGCAGAATCCTCCAGATCAGTGGCGAGAGGAGCAAAGAGCAGGAGGAGAAGAACGACAAGTGGCACCGCGTCGAGCGGAGCAGCGGCAAGTTCCTCCGCAGATTCAGGCTGCCGGAAAATGCGAAGACCGATCAGGTCAAAGCTAGCCTGGAGAATGGAGTGCTGACTATTACTGTTCCTAAGGAGGACGGAAAGAAGCCTGAAGTCAAGCCTGTTGAGATCTCTGGATAGATATAATCATAACTTTATGAAATTTGGTTCCCTGGCCTTATGTTGAGTTTTCTGTTATTCCGAATAAATACTGTCCAGCGCTTGTGTTTGTGTGAAATAGTGGTTCGAATTTGTATGATGTGAAAACAGTTTGCAACATGTTATGAATTGAAAGTGTTGGGATTTGTTTCCTAATTTATGTATTGATTGTAATCGGATTTGATTGGCATTATTTTGGGAATGTTTTGCTGGGATGATTGCGTTTAAAAATGTCTATGCAACTGGCAAGTTTCTTTTGACAGATTTCAAAAAAATCCAGAAACTTGTTTTAATTTCTATTTTTCTAAGTGTTTTTTTTTTTTTTTTTTTTGGGAAAAAAGTTGTTCGTTTTTCTTTGCAGATTTTTGGATTCTTCATGCTTAATCATGTTATTTTTACAATGAAGAAACTACAAGGAGAAAAGCCTCAATGCTTTCTATTCCTCACCTAATCAGAATCAGCCCTCCATGGTTAGCAAAACCAACTGAACTTTTCCGGAATCCCAATTAATTAATAACTGTTTTTCTAGCTCTTTGCTTTTTCAACGAAAGCCTACAGACATATGCTTTGTCTTTAATCTTCAGATTATTTCTTTTGAATAAGAAATATTGAAGTAGTAACAGGTGAAAAGACAATCTCTGATGTAAATGTTAATTTTAAATGTATATTTGCCACTAAAATGTACACTAATTTAATACACATATAAATAAGCCGTTGTTCGGCCCTGTAGCTGGAGTATGTTACTAAAATTCCTCAGTCGAAAAGGTGACGGGCATAACTTACTACAAATATAAAGCGTACACATATATATTGTTTTCTCTTTCTTTTCTCAGCAACATTCTTCGTACAGATTGATGAACCACTTCCACTGCAGTTGAAGATCAAATGAAGAAGAGAATCAAATTTGGAAAAAGGAAAAGAAGAAAAAAGAAGTACATTCTATAATTAATCTTGTTTGCCATTTTGGAAGCCAGTGGATGACGGATGGCAGGTCCCTATCCCCGTATTCTATTCTCATTTTGTCCGTCGTATGCTTCTCTATACCTGTTTAATTTTAGACGAGTAAGAATTAAGAACTCTCACTAGGGGAGTTACTCACATACTCTATCTATTTATCTAGTAAGAGTATAAAAAAAGCTTACGACATTATCAATCTTCAGGATAAACTCCATTGATAAGCTCTACGAGCTAAGGACTAAATTAAGCTTGCTTAATTACAATTATCTAGTCTGAACCTTTTCAAGGAGTTCTAATGGATTGGTGTTACCGTGAGAATGCTTTTGTTCTTCTTCAACAATCCTACCTGGCCAATATATTGTGTTGCGTTGGGTGTGTAGTGGCATGAGAAAAGAACTGAGTTAGGCATTTTCCTTTTCATTGGTGGATTCTGAGACTTTCAAAGTGGTGAAAGGAATGAGAAGCATAACGACACTAATAATCCTCTTTTTATTAAAAAATAAAATAAAAAACCTTCACAAGAACAAAACATCCATCACCTATATCCTCTTTTACAACCAAAACGACTGCAACTACTAATAAACGGCAAAGGAAATATCAAAACTAAAGAAACACTATCAACTAAATCAACTTCAACAAACGACAAGCAGCTTCTCCCTACACCACTTTGTATTCTTATTATTTTGTAACTTTTCGTTTGTTGTTGTTTCCTTATGCTTTTGTTTTTTACGTGTTCTTTTTTTTTTTTTTAAGTTATTCTCTTCATGTCCCTTTTTTTAAAATTTTTTTGTCATTTCCCATTTCTTCTTGTTCTTTAGCCATCCTTTCTCATGTATTGTTGTTTTCCTTATGTCCGTTTTTCTTTTGGCTAGACTTTTATGTCTTTGTTTATTCTTCTACTCGCCTTTATTGTCGTTTTTCCGTATTCTGTCGTTTCCTACTTTATTGTGGTTCCATATTTTGCCTTTTTCCTTTTTATTATCGTCGTTTATGTGTTTTCCATGTATTGTCGTTTATAATGTAGTCGTTTTCTACTTTGATGTCGTTTTGCATTCCTGTACCATTCCTGCATCTTTTCTTTCATCAATCAAGTTGTTTTTAACATAAAATGTCACTTCCCTATTCTATAGTCTTCTGCACACATCCCTAGGTATGTTTATTTCACAACCCAAATTAAAAATTTGAGTTGTATATGTGTGAAAAAAACATTATAATGAAAATAATAATAATATTATTATTAAGGGCATTAATTCAAATCTCAATTTTTGTGTACTAATTAATTTGGTATATGAATTGTCATTTTTTTATTAGTAGGTATTTAAAATATTATCACGTCAATTAATAAAAGAGATTACACCTATTAATAAAAGATAACAACTCACGTATCACAATAATTAATAATAAAAATTAAGATTTGAGTTAGTACCTCGTCAATTAATGTGTCCCTAGCATTACTAAAAAAATGCACCCCATTAAGGAAGACAGATATTCGAAAGAAGATCGTAGAAGGTGGCAGAAAGAAAACCGTCAACTCTATCGCTCACTGTTATTGAACTAATTCTAATAGCATGTTCAAGAAGGGACATGATTAGAGTTGGGCCTTGAAAGTGCTAGAATTCTCTCTTTTTTCTCTTACTCTCTAACTATTCTAATACCGAACCAACCAGAATCGTCCTCTCATCCTTATATATAGGCTGTTTGTACCACCCCTTCAATCAACATTCATAAATTGATCAGTTTTGTTCACTAGTTCTCCAACAAGATCATATCCATTTCCCAACACTTTTTAAGTTTTTGTTTTTAGATTCTCTCAAACATGTCTCTCATCCCAAGCATTTTTGGTGGCCGAAGAACCAATGTGTTTGATCCCGTCTCTCTAGACATATGGGATCCCTTTGATGGCTTCTTCAACTCTGCGTTGGCCACCGTGCCTCCCTCCGCAAGAGAAACATCTGCATTTGCCAACACAAGGATTGACTGGAAGGAGACCCCGGAAGCCCATGTTTTCAAAGCCGATGTCCCGGGCCTGAAGAAAGAAGAGGTGAAAGTGGAGGTTGAGGAAGGCAGAATCCTCCAGATCAGTGGCGAGAGGAGCAAAGAGCAGGAGGAGAAGAACGACAAGTGGCACCGCGTCGAGCGGAGCAGCGGCAAGTTCCTCCGCAGATTCAGGCTGCCGGAAAACGCGAAGACCGATCAGGTGAAGGCTAGCCTGGAGAATGGAGTGCTGACTGTTACCATTCCTAAGGAGGAGGAGGAGGAGAAGAAGCCTGAAGTCAAGCCTGTTGAGATCTCTGGCTAGATATAATCATAACTTTATAAAATTTGGTTCCCTGGCCTTCTGTTGAGTTTTCTGTTATTCCGAATAAATACTGTCTAGCGCTTGTGTTTGTGGGAAATAGTGATTTGAATTCTTATGACGTGAAAAGAGTTTGCAACATGTTATGAATTGAAAGAGGGTTTTTTTTTAAAGGGAAAAAAGTTGTTCGTTTTTCTTTGCAGATTTTTGGATTCTTCATGCTTAATCATGTTATTTTTACAATGAAGAAACTACAAGGAGAAAAGCCTCAATGCTTTCTATTCCTCACCTAATCAGAATCAGCCCTCCATGGTTAGCAAAACCAACTGAACTTTTCCGGAATCCCAATTAATTAATAACTGTTTTTCTAGCTCTATGCCTTTTCAGCGAAAGCCTACAGACATATGCTTAGTCTTTAATCTTAGATTATTTCTTTTGAATAAGAAATATTGAAGTAGTAATAGGTAAAAAAGACTATCTCTAATGTAAATGTTAATCTCAAATATATATTCACCACCAAAAAGTACACTAAAATTCACATATCTATTGTTTTCTCTTCTTTTCTCAGCAACATACAAATGAGCCGTTGTTCGGCCCTGTAGCTGGAGTACGTTACTAAAATTCCTCATTTGCAAAGGTGACGGGCATAACTTACTACAAATATAAAGCGTACACATATCTATTGTTTTCTCTTCTTTTCTCAGCAACATTCTTCGTACAGATTGATGAACCACTTTCACTGCAGTTGAAGATCAAATGAAGAAGAGAACCAAATTTGGAAAAAGGAAAAGAAGGAAAAAAAAAGTACATTCTATAATTAATCTTGTTTGCCATTTTGGAAGCCTGTCTGAGGGATGGCAATGGGGCAGGTGACGGGTCCCCACCCCCGTATTCTATTCTCATTTTGTCCCTCATATGTTTTTCTATACCCGTTTAATTTTAGAAGAGATAAGAATTAGGTAAAATTATCATTCTTACCAGTCTCGTCTCAGGAATTGAAACATTAAAGAAATTGGTTTATTGAGAACCAATCCTCAGGATAAACTCCATTGATAAGCTCTACGAGCTAAGGACTAAACAAAACTTGCTCAATGACAATTATCTAGTCTGAACCTTTTCAAGGACTACTAATGGATTGTTGTTACCGTGAGAATGCTTTCGTTCTTCTTCAGCAATCCTACCTGGTCAATAGTGTGGTGGTATGAGTGAAAACTTGGTTCATCGTTTGAAAAGAATTGAGTTAAGCATTTTCTTTTTCATTGGTGGTCTCTGAGACTTTCAAAGTGACATTTTCTTTTTCATTGGTGTTTCTGAGACTTTCAAAGTGACAAAAGGAATGAGAGGTGACAGTAATGATCCTCTTTTTATTAGAAAAGAAAAGTAAAAAACCTTCACAAGGACAAAACATCACATATATCCTCTTTTACAACCAAAACGACAGCAACTACTAATAAACGGCGAAGGAAATATCAAAACTACAGAAACACTATCAACTAAATTAACTTCAACAAACGACAAGCAGCTTCTCCCTACATACATCACTTTGTATTCTATTATTTTGTAACTTTTCGTTGTTGTTTTCTTATGGTTTTGTTTTTTACGTGTTCTTTTTTGTTTTTTTTTTTTTTGTTTTTTATAGTTATTCTCTTCATGTCCCTTTTTTTTTTTTAAATTTTTTTGTCATTTCCCATTTCTTCTTGTTCTTTAGACATCCTTTCTCATGTATTGTTGTTGTTTTCTTTATGTCCGTTTTTCTTTCGGCTAGACTTTTATGTCTTTGGTTATGCTTGTACTCCCCTTTATTGTCGTTTTTCCGTATTCTGTCGTTTCCTACTTTATTGTGGTTCCATATTTTGCCGTTTCCTTTTTATTATCGTCGCTTATGTGTTTTCCATGTATTGTCGTTTATAATGTAGTCGTTTTCTACTTTGATGTCGTTTTTCATTCTTGTACCATTCCTACATCTTTTCTTTCATCATGTTGTTTTTAACATAAAATGTCACTTACCTATTCTATAGTCTTCTGCGCAGATCCCTATATGTTTATTTCACAACCCAAATTAAAAATTTGAGTTGTACATTATAATAAAAAAAAAGAAAAAAATGATGTTAGGGACATTAATTCAAATTATAATTTTTATATACTAATTAATGTGGTATGTGAATTGTTATTTTTTCATTAGTAGATATTTAAAATATTGTCACATCAATTAATAAAAGAGATTACATCTATCAATAAAAAATAACAAAACTCATATATCACATCAATTGATATAAAAAATTAAGATTTGAGTTAGTAACTCGTCAATTAATGTGTCCCTAGCATTACTAAAAAAATGCAGGCGGTTGAACCCCATTAAGGAAGACAGATATTCGAAAGAAGATCGTAGAAGGTGGCAGAAAGAAAACCGTCAACTCTATCGCTCTCTGTTATTGAACTAATTCTAATAGCATGTTCAAGAAGGGACATGATTAGAGATGGGCCTTGAAAGTGCTAGAATTCTCTCTCTTGAAAGTGCTAGAATTCTCTCTCTTTTCTCTTACTCTCTAACTATTCTAATACCGAACCAACCAGAATCGTCCTCTCATCCTTATATATAGGCTGTTTGTACCACCCCTTCAATCAACATTCATAAATTGATCAGTTTTGTTCACTAGTTCTCCAACAAGATCATATCCATTTCCCAACACTTTTTAAGTTTTTGTTTTTAGATTCTCTCAAACCCACATTGTCGTCACTAACGGTTCAACCCGACCAATTTTTATTGTTGTCGCTAATGGTAAATAAGTCAATTCAATTTTATAAAATTTTAAAAATTAAGTCGAATCAATTTTGTAAAATTTTAAAATTTTTTAGCGACGACAAATTCAAAATAGTCATTGTTAAAGGATTTAATGACGTCATCAAAGTTTTGTTTCTGGTATCCAATTATAGCGATGACAAGCTGTCGTCACTAGAAAACTTTTAGCGATAGATTTATAGTGACGACATATCGTCGTTAAAGCTTTTATAGCGTCAACATGTCGATTTATAGCAACTGCAATTGTCATTGTTAAAGGGTCAATTTCTTGTAGTGATAATAACACTGTCGCTGTAATTAGTCTGTAACAACCCATAATTGTGTCCAAGCAGAGTTTCAGTAATACTAGATACAATCTGGTACAATTTAGTTGTCGGTAATCCATAACATATGGTGTATGGGTTGTAGTTTTTCTAAGAGACAGAAGGAAAAGTATTTCAAATTAGTAGTTTTCATATTGAGAATTCAGTTTGCTTCTAACTTTCAAACATATATTCCATGTAGATTTGAAACCCTAAAAGGAATATGTGTTCAATTATAATTAATATTGCAGAATCTTTTGATCAGACACACACACACATATATATATATATATATACATATATATATACATATATATATATATATATATACACACACACACACACACACATACATATGAGGTAATATTCAATAACTCTTAGAAACAACAATCTTCATTGATGCCACGAAAAAATGAAAAACTAAACAAATTTTTCAAACGACTCTATGAAGCCTTAATCTGGCAAGCAGTAATGAACTAAATACAATTGGTCAACCAACACTTTGCTAATCGTTCAATGTGTCTAGTTATTATACACAAGATTAATACAAGGCTAAAATTCAATGCTGTTTGGTTTCTCTCTCACAGTCTGTGTTAATTCCCAATAAACAATATCCAGTACTTATGTACTTATGTTTGTGTGTAAGACTCGTTTGAGTTTGTACGATGTGAGAAAAAAAAAAATTTGCAGCTTTTGTTTTTTGTTTTTGTTTTTCCTTAAATTGAGTGTCCATTCTGCTTTGCAGTTGGTAATCTTTTGCACTTGGTTATTCTGAGGATTTCTTCATTTCACGCTTGTCCATTATAGCCATACAATATATATATATATATATATATACATATATACATATATATATATATACATATATACATATATATATATACACACACACACACACACACACACACACATACATATGAGGTAATATTCAATAACTATTAGAAACAACAATCTTCATTGATGCCACGAAAAAATGAAAAACTAAACAAATTTTTCAAACGACTCCATGAAGCCTTAATCTGGCAAGCAGTAATGAACTATATACAATTGGTCAACCAACACTTTGCTAATCGTTCAATGTGTCTAGTTATTATACACAAGATTAATACAAGGCTAAAATTTAATGCTGTTATGTTAGATCAGAAAAACTTCCAGCTAGTATTGCTGCTGCACATGCTCAATACTTTGCAGTCCGTAAAAACTACCGTTTTTCCAATGACATAAACTCTTTCACATTTTGCAAAATACCTTTGTCATGTGGATTGGTAAATCTTATTTCTGTAGAGCTTTGTCCTGGATGAGCGGAATATAGGATGTCAAAAAAATGCAAAAGTTAAAAAATTGTGCTTTGAACATTAGAATGCATATATACCTGGTTGGTATTGAACAATCAACTGGAACTCAGGATACTTCTTCCAGTTCACCTAGAGGGGGGAAAGGCAACAAACAACGGTAAGAGCTTGTTTGGTAGGTGGGAAAAGTGGAAGGAGGGAGGGGCGAGGGAATAAAGTTGAATGATTTTGAGACCCATGACTGTTTGGTAGGAGAGAAAATAGAAGCGAATAGATAGCGATTTTAATCTCTCACAATGTGAAGCGATTAGAAGAGCGAATCCAGAGAAAGGTCCTCTCTTTCCTCCCCATTTCCCTCACCTATGTTACATACCATTCTTTCCTTCCTATTTATTTTCCTCTTACCAATAATTCAAGCAATCAATGCATTTAAGGAAGGAAAATAATGCATTCTATATCAGTTATCACATAGCAATACGTACCCACTCATCGGTTCTGATGTTGAAGCATATGCCATATAAATGCCATGTGAAAAATGCCACCTGCCATACCAATTGGAGAATAGAGAAAATCCTTGTGCTGACAGCCAAATTTTCTGAGAGGCTAGTCTGTGCAGTTGATTACACAACGCTCCATCAGTAATGAAACAATGGGTACAAAATAAATGCAGCCCTCCGAAAAGCAATACGATAAAAGCAATTATACCTCTGAACTAAGCATGCTTGACGTCCCAGATTTTACTGCATCTGCAATAGAAGCGCAATACAAAAATGAAAAACGAAACAAAAAATTTAGAAAAATAGAAGTATAAAGAAAAAGTAATCTTCGAAAATGAAGGCAAATGCGGGGGAAAAAGAAAGCTGTAGATTAAGGACATGCATGTGATCAAAAGCCAATTGACAACAAAATGTTACAATATTTTAACGAGGCAGGACTCGAAAGAAGTGAGAAATCAGTTCCAATAAAATGATATAGATCACTACACTTTCCATGGGTGCATGACAGAACATTAACTTACACTCAGAAGAGCAAGCCAGATAACAAGCTTCAGTAACAAGGAACCCAACCAAAAGAACCATGAAAAGGAGATAATTTTTTTGACCTGCAAACAAACCAACCATATCAGCTGTTAACTCCTACGGTATTCAAACATGCTCAACATGAAAAGTAGTTTAAAGCCAGCTTAGGAGGAGATCATAGCATCACACAAATTTGTGACTAGTATAAAGGGGTCAGATATGAAAAAACTGGTGGAGAATGCTAAAATTTCATTGTCAGTACCAATGCAGTTTCCAAAAGCAGGACAATGATGGTCAAAACCCTTTATGTACCCTTTGCAAATCTTGCAATATCTCACCCTCCTCCCAAAATCAGAATCCTGGAAAGAAAAAAACAGAAAAAACATTCACCCTCCTCAGTACTCCATATGAAATCGACTCTAACAATATAATTCACTGCATTCCTTCTACTTCTTTGAAGCCTATCTACATTGCTCATTATCACCCTAAGAAGGGACAGAACAAGATTTATTAATATCAACGAGACCTTCTGTCCTTTAGATTGAATTTGGAATAAAGAAAAGCATTTCAGTGGATTCATTGCAAAAGCCACATATTGAAAAATCGCCAATCCCTCCCCAGAAAAGAAACGGGGAAATTATTGCCTATGATACTATAGGAACTTAGGCTCCGTTCATTTCACCGATTCGAGTTTAGAATTTGAGTTTTGCTACAGTAAAAAGCTCTTAAAAACAGTAACATCTAACTTTTTTGCTACAGTAAAAAGTTATCACGTAAAATCACATCTCAACTCGAATAAGCGAACTGAACGGGCCCTTAATCAGAACTAGTCAAGTTTATCACCTCATTATGAGCAGTAATAATTTCAGAAGCTGAACTCTCCACAAGTTTGTCTGAAAAGGAAGGCTCAACCAAACCAGGATCACTTTTTAGCATACTGCCAATAAGAATAGCTACTTTAGTATTTGGTTGATCTCATCTTTTTATGCATTTTTTTTTCTTTTTTTTTTAAAAAAAAAAAAAAAAAAAAAAAAAAAAAGAACAGAAGAACAACCTACACAGACCAGTGAGGAGCAATACAACTTCTCCATTAAAGACAACGTCCATTACAAGTGATAAACCTACGGCAAAAAAATTGACACAGGAAGCTTAAATACATGCCCAACTCTACACAGATATTATTCTTCGGGGACATAAAAGTTTGTACCTTTTCGGATAATAAGGACGTAAAAACACCAAATGAACAGTATATTGAAGAAAACCAAAGCTGGGGCCGACGCATGGATACCAAGAAGCCGTCTGAACAGCCCACCAAGACCCACTACCACCAGCATCAGAACAACTGTTGTACAACATCAAAAACGAAAATTAAAAACGACCCTTTTGATTTTCCATGATGATCTAATAGACAAGAAGATTTAGAAGAGAAAAGAAAGGAGACCTGAGAGCGAGAGTTGGATGAGAAGGGGCGAGGTAGGGAGGAAGCGAGGGACCAAGGATAGCGCGAACTGAGTGAGCAGAACCATCGTACAAGAAACCACGCATCGTCCAGTTAAGCTCGGCCAAGATAATCGCTTCCTCTGACTCTGCAATGGAACCATTTTCCTTGCCCACCACAAAGTTCGTCGCTTTAGTGCGTTTTTGGTGCTTGTGGTTGTCGTTGATGATGAGTTAAACTGATAAATATCTCTCGGGGGGAAACAAGAGTTCATTAAATACATTGATTTGTTAGTGGAAATTAATTTTTTATTTTTCAACTGTTAATTTTGTACAGAAATTGTATACTTTTTTAATCTAAAACGAATTTAATTAAATCTAACAATCACAAATTAAACTTACTGGTAGAGAAGTCTACTGGAAAAATTCCTCGTCAGTATTAGTATTTTTTGTTTTGTTTTAAACATTATTAATGCTGAACTATCATGACATTTGAACTTTTATTTATTTATTTATTTATTTTGATCTTTTGGTTTAGGGAAAAAAGTTCATGTAATTTTCATTTTCTTTTAATAAAAGATTACAAGTCGGTCACTTGTTTTGATTTAAAAAAAAAAAAATCACCCACTTCATGTAAGTATTTTAGAAATCTTCAATTATCATGTTATAGGAATATATCATTTTTGTTAAAGAAAAAAAATACCATTTACTAAACGTTTCATTAAGAGAACATGATTTTTAAAAAATATATATATAAATAGGGAAATGTACGAGAATAAATTATTTCAAAGGGTTATTGAAGAGGAAAAAAAATTATGAGGGTCAATTTAAAAAAAAAAGAAAAATAAAGTAAAAAAGATAAGAATAGAACAAAGAGGGCAAAAAGAGAAGGAATAGAAGGGAAAAGGAGAGAAAGTTTAAAGAAAAAGAAAAGAAAAAAAGAAAGTGGGTGAGAAGTTTTTTTTTTAGAATAGAATCTGCTATTTTATTAAATAGAATAAGCCTCAAATACAATAATAAATTTTATGATAGTTGGAGTTTCATCTAATTAAGATAGCTCATCATTAATATTAAGAGCATAAGCAGTCAAAATATGGACAGTTTTATTAATTTCTCTATACACATGAATTTCTGAACTTTTTACTTTTTTTTAGGTCTTTTGATTTTGAACAATAAAATTGACAATAAATTTATGTAATTTAATTAAAGTATTTGTGAATCTATCATACCATACTTTAAAATTTTATAGAAATAATTGCATTAATTACAAAATAAACTCTCCGTATTAAGTTTTACTGTCGTTTCCATTGTTCTGTGCTTTTCGTTTTCTGTCATTTGCCATACATCGTCGTTCAATTTATTGCGAGTTCTTCTCGTCGTTTCAATGTCTTGTCGTTTATCGTATGCTGCATTTCCTTGTCATGGTTGTTCATGTGATGTCGTTTTTGATATAGTATCGTTTATTGATGTAGTTTTCTATATATTTCTGTCGTTTTATTAATTTTATATTGGTTCTCGGCCATTACCTGCAATCAGCTTTTGTGCTGACTCCAAACTTTTCTCTTTTCATAGCCCATTGTAATACGTCCGAATTCAAATTAGAAATGGAAATTTTGATTTTGCTGCATAAAAAAGTTGCGTTTTGGTACTTCGGAATCTTCCTGGTTTTGATTCCTTTGCTCTCACTTCTCTCAAATAGCAACAAAAACACTTTTCCAAAATCATCGGCTCAAAGAAAGATAAAACTAAAGTAAAAAAGCTTCCCTACAGAAATGACAAAGTAGAACTCAGACGAGGGTATAAACGATCATTTTCTACAAAAATTGGAACTCAATTCTTGCACGAAATAGTTTATTTTGATAAAAAATTAGTCGCATTTAAAATGTCAAAACCGTTATCAAATAGACTTCTTACGTTTTTTCTAGCCACGAATCATTCCAAGTTTTTGATTGCTTATATCTTGAAAACATTATCTTTAAGAGCTTTTGGAGGAGACTTTGTCCAATCATCATTAGGACATTAGGCATGATAATTCAGATAGTGACACGACGACACAATTTGATACCGACACGAAATTAATAGGTTTGAATTTACTATAAATGTGTTTGGGTCATAATTAGGTTAATGCAATTGACATGATTAATAAATAAGTTGGTTTATGGTTGACCTCTTAACACGAAGTGATACGAATTGACACGATTAATTATATGTGTCATCTACAATCTAATGATATTTGATATAACATGAAAGTTTATATGACATATTCAATCAAAATAATGTGAATTTTAATATTTGTAGATAAAATTCATTTATTTTTCTTAAAGAAAAAGATAAATTAACTAATAAACATGTTAAACCCGTATCGACTGTGTTAAATAAGTTATTATATTAATTATTTATTTAGTATATTAATTTAAACATATTATACGGGTTGATATGATTAACACAATTAATAAATGAGTCGTGTTTAGATTAATATTATTGACACGTTTAAAAAATATATTATGTTTAGATTAATATTTTTGTAACACAATTAATAAACAGATGATACAAATAGGACTCACTGATATAAATTACCACCCTTAATCATCGTATTCATTCATTCATATCGTAAAAGAGGGAGGAAAAAATGAAAATACGTGTCGTCACAGTCGTGTAACGCCATCAAAACTCCCGTGGTTTTATAACTTTTAAGCGGAAAAGCCGTTGCGCAAAACACCAAAACTTCGTTACGGGCGTCTCGTCTCGTTTGAGCTGTACTTGCGGCGCACTCACATGCAGTACCTGCAATGCATCAAACCTGGCAATGCTCCCCTGTCCCCACTTGTGGGACCCACACGTGAGACGGTGGATATACTAGTACTATTTTTTCCCCCCCCAAAAAAAATGAAAATTAGTCCTCTAAGAGATATAACAGTATATATCATTGGGATACCAAATGGACGGCCCTGATTGGTTTCCAAATCCGAGACCGGATCATGTCACGGTGGATAGGAGAGGAGGGTATCATTCTATGCACATCGACCATGTGCCGCAGTTTTCACTCGCTTTTGGGACCCACTTTTTGGGTCCTTAAAACGCCATGGGAGTTGGGACCCACATCTTCCTTATTGGCGCTCGGGATCCGACGGCTCTGACGAGCCGGCGACAGACATTGGTTCTTCTGATTGGCGGTTGGGTACTTGGGTAAGTTTATGGGGCTTTTGGCTTTGCGGCTGTAGAAGCAAAGCCGGGGCTGACGGCCGGATTCCATCCAATGAAACTAACACACCTGTCGAGATCAGATAGACAGAAGCGACGGCCTATCTTACCACCACCCAACCCGTGCATGTGGGGCACGTGTATCTGAGATTTTGATTGTGCAGAACTTGATCGGGCCAGGCCGCTCAGGGATCGGACGTTTCTAATTCTCCTATCGTGGCACGTGGACGGAAGAGATCCTATGCACACAGGGGAAAGGTCAAAGCAATCTAGTTTCCACTTCTTTCACCATTTTATTTTTAATTCTATTTTTTAATGTTCTTAAATCCTATTTATTTTGTTAATTCGAATTTTATTATAGTAAAAAATTCTTACAAACAGTCACATTTAATTTTTTTATTACAATAAAAAATTCTGTTTTAAAATTACATATCAACTCAAATTAATAAACTAAACGAGCACTTAAAATTTAGCAAGCTATTATTCAGAAAAAAAAGCAGAGGAGCTCGTACTTTTTTTTTAGCAAAATAAAGATAAATATAGCGAATAATAAGAAAAAAGTTAGCCTTTTTAGAAAAAAAAGTTAGGTTTATTTTTGTTTTAACTGAGACTATGGCTCCGTTTATTTCACTGGTTTGAGTTTTGTTATAGAAAAAAGCTCTCAGAAACAGTCACATCTAACTTTTTGTTACAATTAAAAACTCTCACATAAAGTCACATATCAACTCGAATCATCGAACTAAATGGCCTCTATATATTAGGATGTTTTCTCCTTAAGATTGTTTCTCACTTCTCATCGTTCTTGATCAAGTAGAATCTAACATGTGGATGATTCTGATTTTGTAAATGATAAATAATCTAACACTACTTATATATAATCCGAAAAAGTCTTTATAATCTTGAAATAAATTATGTTTAATTTTGTGGAAATTTGATTTCTGGAAATATGGCACTTTCAAGAGCCATGCAATTGAGGGGCCCAAAAGAGACAGTTTTATAGAGTGGTCAATGGCGCATTTATTTGTTCTTGACGCAAAATGAGAGACGACTGGCTATCTAAGTTCTAACTATGGTCAGCAAAATAAGAACACTCTTTTTTTTTTTTTTTTTTTTTTCCTCATGTGAAAAATAAGAATATTGACGTTTTGGTCAGGCATCGTATGGAAACATATATGATTTGCTTTTGCACATGGCACGTCAATATAATGTCGTAACCTTTGGTCTTATATTCTTCGCCCAAAAGCAATATCTTCATTTTTTTTTTTTTTTCAATTTTTTGTAATTTCTTTACTTCGCACGTCAAAATCTCCGATACTTTTAACCTTTCTTCCGATTAAAATGAAGGAATAAATGAAAAAAGAAGACAATAACGAGACATAATTTGATAATCTCTAATCGAATACTCAAGTGGACACGCCCACAATCTTAATCAACATTTTCATACCAATATAATTATTTAGCATTAACTAACTAGCTACCTAGCTGTTGTGAATGTTTTCTCAAAACAAAACTATCGGATGCATATTTTTATGTACAATGTCATGTGGTAGTTGAAGGTTGTAATCCACCACTGGCAATTGTTTAAGTTTCCCAACACACTTGATAATTCCTTTGGTTTGGTTTGGTTGCCTACAAATGTTGTTGCGCGTAGCCAACCTATCATTCCCTTTGAGTGCCATAGATAATATATATATATATATATATATATATATATATATATATATATATG